ATTTTCATCCATCCTGGATGGTCAGTTGGGACTACAGTTGCCCTGAGTATATTCAAAGCAATTTTTTTTAGAGACAGTCTCATTTTGTTGCCCTCAGTAGAGTGCTGTGTTATCACAGCTCACAGCAACCTCTAGCTCTTGGGCTTGGGTGATTCTCTTGCCTCAGCCTCCTGAGTAGCTGGGACTACAGGAGCCCACCACAATGCCCGGCTATTTTTTTGTTGCAGTTTGGCTGGGGCGGGGTTCGAACACGCCACCCTTGGTATATGGGGCTGGCTCCCTACCCACTGAGCCACAGGTGCCACCCTCAACAGCATATTAATTAGGGGTTCAGACAGATCTTGTTAAGTTTGTTTGGGATGCTCTGATTAAATAAAGATAAAAAGATTATTTTCTATAGGACGTCTTAGGGTTTTTATGTAACATGAAGAGTTTTATTAAAATCCCAAGAAAGAGCCATAGACTTTTCATTGTCCAAATTTAATTTATAGAGCCTTTTAGGTCATCCTGGGGGATAGAATTCTGCCTTAGAGAAACCTGGGAGGAGACCAAGTACCAGACAAAGATTTCAGGGTGAGTTGAAGAGTATTTTAATCAAGTGTAGAGGTAAACCGTGATTGCTGACAGCTAAGACTTAGTAACAAAATGTTTAGTTGTACTCAGATGTTCAGCTTCTTTATCGAGCTTTAGCTGTAAAGTAAGCTTGCTCTCTAAAGCAATATACTTCTACTGCTCATTGGTTAAAGTTATTTCAGTAGTGATAAGCTTTTATATCGACATGGTAAAAAGGAGAAAAGAATGCTAATTCTTAGTCCAGGGGCAGCATACCCAAAATGCTTGTTCATTTTTCTTGTTGGAGAGGGATGTCTGCTCACTTTGACCTCGAGGTAATGACTACTGTCTTGGGGTTCATTCTTCCACTCACGATTATATCATAGACAACTCTTAAGCCTTCTTACTGTGGTTGAATATCAGAAGCAATTTGGTTAGAGGGAATAACTCTATTTGGTGATGATCTCACTATTTTAGACATATAGTTGGGGGAAATAAAGACCCCCTAGTGCTCAGCCATCTGGCAACCACTACACAGAATGTTCTGGCAGGCGAGGAATTAGAACTGATGTTGGCAGCAGGCAGCCCATTTAGACACTATTCTAAAAGATCTTACAGTGAGTAAAAGAAATATTGCCAAGGATGGCAACTCTGGATATTTCCATCAGCTCCAGTCTGGATCTTGACCTGCTGAATAAGGTGATGCTTTGGCAGGCTGAGGCGACAGGGATTAGGGGAACCCAACCCAAGGCTGTGCTTTTGTGATCTGAACATAACTCTCTCCCTCACGCTCCTCTAGCACATGCCAGGGTGACAGAGATGAGCCATACTTAGGAGGCTGCCGCCTGCAGCCTCAGCACTGGAGCCAAGGGAGGGGAAGGGAATGGGAGCTGCTGATGTCTGCTCTTGTTTGCTTTGGGCTCTCACCTGGGCCTTTCAGTGAGCCGGGCTCAGCTTTCTTCCTGGGAGGACATTTGATCTTCTGTTTTAAAGAAATTCCAAAGAATATGAGTAAAGACCTCACCAGGAAGGGCTGACATTCAACTGATGGGTGGAGTAAATGTCTCAAGGAAGAACCTGACACAGAATCCCCTTCATGGATCGTCTATGGATAAATAATGTTGATTTAACAATCTAAACATTTATTGTTGGACATGATGAATTTAAATTTCAAAACAATCTTGCAAGTTGAGTAGATGCTTCCTTTTATGAATAAGGGAAGAGAGAAGTCAAGTACTTTGTCCAAGGTCAGTACATAGTGAGAGGAGGACATGGGGTTTGAGTCCAGATCTCTTTACAGGCTTTTTATTGTTTTGTAATTTTCAAAGGACTTTCACTTACAGAACATTCTATCTTGTAAGGCTCACCACAAGCCATTGAGGTCGGAAAGGGTCAGACAGATTAGAATACAGAATTAATGCATCAGGCCTTGGCCTGAGGTCACCCCCACAACTCCATCTGAGCAGACATTCTCCCTCTTTTGAGTCCCAGGTTGGTTTTCTTACTCTCCACTCACATTCAGCTTCCTTTCTTCACCATTCTCTACGTAAGTTTCTCTGGGGTTAGAGAGTCACTTTGAGAACAGCCAGGGCTGAACATGCTATTGCCTCCCCCATCCACCCCAACAGAGTACTGGCAGTGGCTAAATGCACAGACCTTACCAGGTGTCAAGTGCGGCACTCGGCTCAGCTTGTTTGATGCTCACCATGACCCCACAAAATACCTGTTCTTAGCAGCCCAGCTTTATAGTTGATGGAACCTGACACATAAAAGTTAAGTAGCTTGGCCAAGGTCAAAGAACTAGTGAGTCGTGGAGCTGGGATCCAACCAGGCGGATAGATGCCAGACAAGCTCAGAGCAGAGAGGATTGGGAATTGGCTGAGGACCACTTGACACTCAATGTCCTTCAGGACCTTTCAGACCAATTCTCTGGTCTAGACTGGCTTGTCCAGAAGCCATCTTGGAAGGACAGGCCTCATTGCCCACCTGACTGGAATTCTGGAGATACGCCAACCACCTATTTCTTAGGGAGTGTGGAATCATTCCCTCCTTCCCTGTCATATGTGTGAAATATCCTATGTAGATGACAATCTGCAAAGTTGCTCTTGCTGTGTGTGGTGTGGTTGGTATGGGGAGGTGGGTTGGCATGGGGATGGAGGATGGTTGAGCTCTTGGAAGTGAGAGCAGTGACCCCCCTGTGTTCTGCCATCAAGCATCCTCCCGCCTCCCATGCTGGCCTAGATGGAATACCCTGGGCTTCCCAAACTTCCTGGATCATAAGGATTACCTGGTGGGCTTATTAAAAATATGAACACTCAAGCCCATCCTCTGAAGATTTTTGTTCATAGGACTAGGTGGGAGCTGGGTCTAGGCATTAGACTCTTAGATGTTGGCCATCAGTTGGTTAATTCTGGCTGTAGTGTGCTTGCCTGTGCTCAGAGCTGGACATTCAGAACAGGCAGGACTCAGGCCCTTCTCTCAAGGAGCTCAGGGCATAGAGGGTAATGCTCAGTAAACAGACAAGTGCAATTTGTTCCAGGGCCATGATGGGAAAAGTACCGGGTGGGAAAACAGGGAGGGGTGTCTGACCCAGATGAGGTGTGAGCACTGGGAGGACAGCCTACCTGCTAGATCGGAGCCAGGGCCCAGACATGACACATGCTCCCACCCTAAGATGAGTGGGGCCCTTGAGCTGACTCTACTAGCTGGTTGGAGCCCCCCCGCTTCCTGTCCCTTCCTGCTCCTGGATCCAGAGATCACCTGCTGTCGGTCTAGGATGGAAAGTAGGGGGGTTGGTCTGAGACCCCTCCCCTGCCATGTCCCCTCCTCTTCCCAACCCTCACACTTATTTGCTCCATATCATGAGCTTCCCTTTCCCATGGTCCAAACATGTTAGTTCCATTTTATTTTATTTATTTATTTATTTATTTTTTTTGAGACGGAGCCTCAAGCTATCCCCCTGGGTAGAGTGCCATGGCATCATGCTCACAGCAACCTCCAACTCCTGGGCTCAAGCGATTCTCCTGCCTCAGCCTCCCAAGTAGCTGGGACTACAGGCGTCCGCCACAACGCCTGGCCATTTTTTGGTTGCAGCCATCATTGTTGCTTGGCTGGCCTGGGCTGGAGATTCGAACCCGCCACCTTAGGTGTATGTGGCTGGCGCCTTAGCCGCTTGAGCCACAGGCGCCGAGCCGTTAGTTCCATTTTACACTTTAGTTTCATTTTACACTTTAGTTTCTTTCCCATAAGCAGCATTTCCCAGCTCAAACTCTAGGCTTAGGGCAGGGTGTGGTGGTTCACACCTGTAATCCTAGAACTCTGGGAGGCTGAGGCAGGTGGATTGCTTGAGCACAGGAGTTCAAGACCAGCCTCAACAAGAGTGAGACCCTGTCTCTACTAAAAATAGAAAAAAAATGGCTCGGCACCTGTGGCTCAGGTGGCTAAGGTGCCAGCCACATACACCTGAGCTGGTGGGTTTGAATCCAGCCCGGGCCCGCCAAACAATGATGATGGCTGCAACCAAAAAATAGCCGGGCGTTGTGGCGGGCACCTGTGGTTCCAGCTACTTGGGAGGCTGAGGCAGGAGACTTGCTTGAGCCCAGGAGTTGGAGGTTGCTATGAGCTGTGATGCCACAGCACTCCATCCAGGGGGACAGCTTGAGGCTCTGTCTCGAAAAAAAAACTAGCTAGTGTTGTGGCTGGAGCTTGAAGTCTCAGCTACTTGGAAAGCTGAGGCTAGGAGTTTAGGTTGCTGTGAGCTAAGGCTGCTGTGAGTTAGGCTGACACTATGGCAATCTAGTCTGGGCAACACAGTAAGATTCTGTCTCACCCCTCCACCCCTAAACCCTCCAGGTTTGCTTAGATGGATGTCTTTGGCTGGGGTGGTAGCAGAGTGGACCTTGTGGAGTCAGTGCACCTCTTACCCCTCACCCCTACTCTAGGCTCTCTCTGACACATTGGACACAGGTGAAATGTCACCAGAAGACAGTGCCCAACAATGGGAGAAACAGGCTCAGCCAGTACAGGAGCCTGGACACTGTGGCACCAAGGGAGGGACCCAGCCCACCTGGAAAGGTTGTGCGGTCCTCAGCCTCTGTGTCATGTTGCTGAGTGGCTCCTAATCCCCTAGTGTCTAAAGCCGATTCATCCTGCTGGATCAGGTGCTGCTTGAGTTCCCTAAGACCCTTGAGGAAATCACACAAGGGGAGGGAGGAGCTCTAGCATTTTGTCAACTGAGGCAAGTTTGGGTGATTAAGCTAAGAAAGCAAAACCATTTTGGCCCAGAGGATTATCTTTGAGGTGTGCTGGGAACCAAGAAGTAACTTATTGCCTGCAAGGCAAACCAAACCCAAGATGACTCTTGACTAATTGCTTGCTTCTCCTCTGCCAAGCCAGGCTCTCTGGTATATAAAGGCCAGCCTCCTCTGCCCTCCTCATCCTCTGCCTTCATCCCTCTCCTCTCCTGCTAAGTGACTACTAGCTCACCTCCAAGCTTTCCCTCATCATGAACAGACAAGTCTGCAAGAAATCCTTCAGTGGTGGGAGCCAGGGCTTCTCTGGCCACTCTGCCGTGGTCTCCAGCAGCAGCAGGATGAGCTGTGTGGCCCGCTCTGGGGGAGTCAGTGGAGGGGCCTGTGGGCTACGCAGTGGAGCAGGTGGCTTTGGCAGTCGCAGCCTCTACAACCTGGGAGGCAACAAGAGCATCTCCATCAGCGTGGCAGGTGGTGGCTCCCGGGCTGGTGGCTTTGGTGGAGGGCGGAGCAGCTGTGGCTTTGGAGGTGGTTATGGAAGTGGCTTTGGAGGAGATTATGGAGGTGGCTTTGGTGGTGGCCTTGGTGGTGGCAGAGGTATGGGAGGTGGTTTTGGAGGAACTGGCTTTGGAGGAGCTGGCTACTTCGGTGGACATGGTGGCTTTGGTGGCCCTGGTGGCTTCCCTGGGGGAATCCAGGAAGTAACTGTCAACCAGAGCCTCCTGCAGCCCCTGAATGTGGAGATTGACCCCCAGATTGGGCAAGTAAAGGCCCAGGAGCGGGAGCAGATCAAGACCCTTAACAACAAGTTTGCCTCCTTCATCGACAAGGTGAGGGTGAAGCTGGAGGCTTGGGCTGTCAGGAGGATGGTGTGGAAAGACACTAGTGGGACCTGTGAGGCACGAAGACAGGGGTCCTGGCTCTTGTCCTGGCTTTGTCTTGGTCCGTACAGGACAGTGGGCATGCCTCTCTTGCTCTTTGGGCCTTGTTTTTCTGGTTGATAAATCGGGGAAGGATCCCTGGTCCTACTTTCCTTTGAGGAATTAAACAAAGGAAAATGAGTTAAAGAGATCAGTGCAGTTAACTTTCAATTCCTCTTGAAAAGCAATGCGTGATAACTCAAACTAACTGGCAATCAAAATCACAGCAATACAAACCTTGCAGCTGCCTGTAAATGATGAGTATGGACAGTGGACTCACCTTCCAAATGATGCTGCGCTCTGCCATGTTAAACTGCACTGGGGCAGTGGTGGGAGTGCCGAGTCTGTGGGGGACGAGTCCAGGACCACAGGGAAACCTAGGTCAGCTGCAAGCCAAGTAACTGCGAGGTCTTCCTATGTAGAACTTCTACACAAGTGTCAGATCCTTTTCAATAAAGACTGCTTTCACTGGCTTTAGGGAGCTGAAAAAGCTCACATCTAAAAAGTTACAAATAACTTTTCTTATACTGGCCTCCTTTAGTTGTATTCTGAAGGATCTCAGCACACCTAAGTCAGTCCCAGGTTCAATTCATAGCTTTGTCACTAGGTAGACATGTCATTTTGGGTGACTCAAACCCTTTGAGCCCCATTTGCCTCATCTACAAAATGGGGATTGTAACCCCTTCTTTGCAGGTCATTGCGAGGACTGAGAAAGATATATGAACATAGCAAGTGAAGCATAAGTGCTCAACAGATTCCAGGTCTACCTTTTCTAAATCTTCATCCTTCAGAGGCAGAGGCATCCTACAGAGGCAACTGTAGCGTGAAGGAAGAGCTGGTTTTATTTTCCACATTTCCATCATTTGGGATGGTTGGCTCAAGCGCCCAACTCAAGAGGCTGACTCCTTTCCTTCCTCCCAATGCAGGTGCGGTTCCTGGAGCAGCAGAATAAGGTCCTGGAGACAAAGTGGGAGCTGCTACAGCAACAGACCACGGGCTCCGGCTCCGGCCCCAGCAACCTGGAGCCTTTCTTTGAATCCTACATCAGCTTTCTGCGCCAGCAGGTGGATTCGCTTCTGGGAGAGAGGGGGAACCTGGAGGGAGAGCTGAGGAACATGCAGGGCCTGGTGGAAGACTTCAAAAAGAAGTGAGGGCTCCCACTGGGTGTTTCCCCTGGGGGATTAGCAGGGAGGTGCGGTCCTGTTAGGGATTTCAGCTGTTCCTGGCTGTACCTTCAGTCAATACTCTGGGCTGGATTTACTGAGTGAAGCGTGACCACACAGAAGGGGGTGAGAGGGTGGGGACTGAGACTCCCACAGGGCTGATTATTGCAGATTTTCTGGTCTCCAGGCAGCCCCCTGCTGTACCTGCCCAGATGGACCCAGAGTCCTCCCGCAGTCTAGAGCTCTATAGGATGGGGAGCCCTCTACACTTGGCTATATATAGGAATCACCTTGGAAGCTTGTCAATAGTGCATATTCCTGAATTCCACTCTTAGATATCCCAAATCAGTAGGTGTGGAGCAGGTCTGGGGAGGCTGAGTGCTCCCAAGTCCCTAGGAATTCTAGCAGATGGTCCAGGGCTGCATTCTATAAAGTGCTCTTTCAATGTGTCCCCTTAAATCTCCTATTTCTGAGGCTTTGTCAGTCCCCCCCATTCCAAATTGCAGATCATATCCTCTGAGGTCTGTGAGAGGTAAACTGGTCCTCTCAAAGAAGAAGGGAGGGACATCCCTAGGGGTCAGGACATCCCTGGGTTGGGTCTGCTCTGGAGAGGACCTATTCCTGGTGGGCACCCGCCCTGTGGCAGGCTCCGTGATGGGCTCTGGGAATCCACAGCAACTCAGCTCCATGTTCCCCAGAAACCTCTTTTCTCCTAGAACCATTCCAATTCTTCAGTCTTTATGAAATTCAAACTAGTAAGAGATTATAGTTTTCAACAGGCTAGAAGTACTCAGAAGGCGTGAGTTCATTCTCATCCCACATTCCTGTAGGAAGCAGCAACTGTAATTAAGGGAAACAGAAGCTGAGAGGCAGACATGGGTGGGGAGAGCAGACATCTCTTTGGCGTGCTCATTCTGCTTTGCGAGGTCAACCAGAGAGCCCAGGCAGATAGTTAGGCTCTTCGAAGTCTCCCTGCTCCCTGACTGCCCACACTACTGCCTGTCGGGGGCTTTAGAGGAAAGAGGGCGAGACAGGACCGTGATGCTGCAAGGTCTCCAGACAGGACCAGCTACGTAATTTGCAGCTCTCAGTGAAAAGGGATACAAGGTCCTTGTTAAAAATTATCAAGAATTTCAAGGTGGCATCAGCAGAGCATTCAGTCAAGTCTGAGGACCTACTGAGGCCAGGGTCCTGTGTACTACACCGGTCACCACCCGTGAAGTTGTCGGGCCTCTGCCTGGGGAGGTCAGCATGAGTGCCTGCGATCCTTAGCTCTGTCTTTCAGTTCTGAAATCACTGTCCCAATGTGTCCTCTTTCTGCTCCAGGTATGAAGATGAGATCAACAAACGCACTTCTGCAGAGAACGAGTTTGTGGGGCTCAAGAAGGTAGGGGAGCGAGGATGGCACATCCACATTCCCTTTCTGGGAGGGCTCGCACGGCGAGAACAGAGCCAGCTGCTCTGGGCACAGTGGCGCTGTGCTGGGTGCAGAATTTATATTTTTCTTTACATTTTTGGGAATAAAGTGATGAAGGAAGCTGCTAGAAGTACACTGCCCTAGGGAAGATACCTTAAAATGCTACTGCAACTCAGGAACTGATTATTAAAGTGAACTCATGACAGGCATTTCATGGGCAGCACAAATCAAGGTTTTTCCTGTAAATGCACCCTGGAAGTTAACAGCCAACAAATATTTGGCTCATATTTGAACTAATCACCATCGTGATGAGGTAGTGAGGATACCCTCATTTCTATTCAGAAGCTTGAATTTTTGGTACTACATAACCCAAGTCACATAAATACTGTGATTTGTTCTATCCTAAAACTAGGCGGTTACTCTGTGCCTGGCTAATAGGCTTTGTATGTTGTTAAAGCACTGGGGTTTGGTTGACCCAAGTAATTAAAAGAAAACCAAAATGTTTTTCTTCACTTTAAAAGGCAGGTGAGAAGTCACAAGGGGGAGGTGCTGGAGGGGATAGGGGAGGGGCAAAGAAGAGATGAAGGCTTAGGAAGCAGCCCTTAGGGGTGAGGGGAGCGGAGGGTCATTCTTTTGTTCTGACGGCCCCTTCAGGATGTGGATGCGGCTTACATGAACAAGGTGGAGCTGCAGGCCAAAGCGGACTCCCTGACGGATGAAGTCAACTTCCTGAGGACCCTCTATGATATGGTAATTCCTTGGTTTGCCGAGCTCCAGAGCCCTCCTGTCTGATCTTCCCAAACATGTGTCCCAAGGGCAAATTTAGGGGCCAGTCAAGCGCCAGGACCCTCACAGAGTCAACAATAGGGCTTGGAACTCACTTCTGCCCCAGCCAGGAAATGTTCACTCAGCCAGCGCAGACCTGGCACATAGGCCAGGGTCCTTCTCTGTCCTCAGCCCATTTTGTTCTCTGTCCGGCTCCTACCCCAGAGTCATTGCTAGTCTCTTCATAATACTCCTCCCTACTGACGGCCCATGGAGCCGCCACAGCAGGGCTTACTGGCTGATACTTTCAGGCTGACAACCAGTTTATATTGGCATAGTTCTGGCATCCTTTTAGGCTACAGCAGTGTCTGAAGTGCAAGCTTATTTTTCTAACAATCCCACCTCCAGCCCATCCTTGGGGCATCTCTGCTAGTAGAGGATTCCTGCACCTCCTGGGTCAGGGGATGGGGAAAGTGACTATCCACATTTCTTGCAGGAGCTGTCCCAGATGCAGAGCCATGTCAGTGACACATCTGTGGTGCTGTCTATGGACAACAACCGCTGCCTGGACCTGGACAGCATCATCGCCGAAGTCCGCGCCCAGTATGAGGACATTGCCCAGAGGAGCAAGGCTGAGGCTGAGGCGCTGTACCAGACCAAGGTGGGAGCCCTCCCCTTGTCCCTATAGGGCCCGATGACTTTCATCTAGTGTGCACTACCACTTTACCAAGCCATGTGGATTGTTTGTCTGCTTTCAGCTGGGGGAGCTGCAGACCACAGCTGGCAGACACGGGGATGACCTGAGGAGCACCAAGAGTGAGATCATGGAGCTTAACAGGATGATCCAGAGGCTGCGGGCTGAGATAGAGAGTGTCAAGAAGCAGGTGGGGATGGGTCTAACGTGGAGATCTTTGGGGTCTTCTGGGCTCTGATGAGAAGGAGAAGCAGCAGCCCCTCTGCCACGTGCTGTCTCTGTCTCTTCTTGGAGTCACGCAGTCTCTGAGGATGTCTGTTCTCCCAGATGTTCCCCTGGAGCTTGGGCTTCTTGGAATGTTCCCCAAGGAGAGATGCTGGCCCATTCTGCTTGCCCAGCAGATCCTACAACTGCAGTGCTGGCCTTATACACTAAGCCCTCAGCGGGATCTGCCCTCTGTGAAGCTCCTGCTCACACTCTTCTCACACGCTGATGACCGCTCTGCATTAGTGGAATGAAGTGATTAAGCAAGGGAGTTTTTTTTTGAGACAGAGCCTCAAGCTGTTGCCCTGGGTAGGGTGCCGTGGCATCACAGCTCATAGCAACCTCCAACTGCTGGGCTTAAGCGATTCTCTTGACTCAGCCTCCCAAATAGCTGAGACTACAGGCGCCTGCGACAATGCCCAGCTATTTTTTGGTTGTAGTTGTCATTGTCATTTGGCAGGCCCGGGCTGGATTTGAACCCACTAGCTCTGGTGTATGTGGCTGGAGTCTTAGCCACTTGAGCTACAGGCACTGAGCCAAAGGAGTTTTTTTTTTAATAGTCTTGCAAAAAAGATCAGAGACTAACCAGACCAGTACTACATTTACTGGCCTAGGACAGCAACTCAGTGTTTCTTTTCTTTTCTTTTTTTTTTTTTTTTTGAGACAGAGCCTCAAGCTGTCCCCCTGGGTAGAGTGCCGTGGCATTACAGCTCACAGCAACCTCCAACTCCTGGGCTCAAGCGAGTCTCCTGCCTCCGCCTCCCAAGTAGCTGGGACCACAGGCGCCCGCCACAACGCCCGGCTATTTTTTGGTTGCAGCCGTCATTGTTGTTTGGCGGGTCCAGGCTGGGGATTCGAACCCGCCACCTTAGGTGTACGTGGCTGGTGCCTTAGCCGGTTGAGCTATAGGCGCCGAGCCAGTGTTTCTTTTCTTGATGAGACATTGAGTTGATTTTAATGGGCCAAAGATGAACTAACCAGTTTCAAAATTTACTTCTGTTTTCTGAGCATGCTCCACTGGGATTTCCAAGGATGAGGATGAAGGGGATGAAGGGATGCTGGATGGGGGAGGAGATCTCTCAGGAAAGGTGAATGTGTGTCTCCTGGTCATTATGCCCATTGATCTTCTACCTCCCGCCCCAGAACTCCAACCTGCAGACGGCCATTGCGGAAGCTGAGCAGCGTGGGGAGATGGCCCTCAAGGACGCCAATGCCAAGCTCCAAGAGCTTCAGGCTGCCCTACAAAAGGCCAAGGATGACCTGGCCCGGCTGCTGCGTGACTACCAGGAGCTGATGAATGTCAAACTTGCCCTGGACGTGGAGATCGCCACCTACCGCAAGCTGCTGGAGGGTGAGGAGTGCAGGTGAGTGGTCATGATTTTATTTATTGATTGATCTTTGGGACAAAGTCTTTGTCACCCTTGGTAGAGTGCGGTGACATCACAACTCACAGCAACCTCAAACTCTTGGGATCAAGCAATTCTCTTGCCTCAGCTTCCCAAGTAGCTGGGACTACAGGCACCTGCCACAATGCCCTCCTTTTTTATTAGAGACAAGGTCTCACTCTGGCTCAGGCTGGTCTCGAACTCCTGAGCTCAGGCAATCTACTCGCCTCAGCCTCAAGTGACCTTTGGTAAGAAAGGGAGAGAGATGATACGAAGAACACAGATTAAAAAAGGGCAAGGAGTCTCTTGAATGGCAGGGTTAAGGATTCGAGTCCCACTATTTAACATCAGTCAAGATCATCCAATTCTCTGGTTTATCATGAATGTCAGGATTACATTATCCACCTCTATTGATCTCCGCTATGTGCAATGTGTAAGGAAAATCCTCTGGAGTTGTGACAAAAGTTTTAGACCAGTGCTGTCCACTGGGACTTTCTGAGGTGACCAAATTGTTCTATTCTTGTGCTAAGACAGTAGCCATTAGCCACTTGAGCCACTTCAGCCACTTAAACACTTGAAATGTGCCCAGTACAACTGAGGAACCAAGTTTTATTTTTAATTGCCTTCAATAGCTTCATGCAGCTAGTGGTTCCTATATGGGAAAGCCCAGTCCAGACAATGCTATAACTCCCCGCCCCTGAAGCTGAGTCTATAGAGGGAAATGGTTGACACACACTCTTGAAAAATAACGCAACATTGAGCGAGAGACAAAGGCTTAATGAGTGGACATCAGATGCTAAAGGAGTGTCAAGAATTGAGGGCTCTCTCTGCGGACCACTGCTCCATGCATCCCGTGTGCAGAGCCTCTGTCCTCAGCCGGCTCACAATCTGACAGAGGCAGCAGGTCCCAAGTATGAGAAGAAAGGGTTTCTTATGAGTCTCTATAGAAAAGAGTGAGAGCGAAGATGGTATTAGGTGTATTGGGAGTCGTGGGGTGAGGCGGGAGTGGTTAACACCAGTGGGCACACGGTGGCAAGGTGGGCAGACACATTCTCTGTCTGCTCAGACAGGTGGGCGTGTCTGCTCTGTGAATTAGAATAAGGCATGGGAAGCTGGGCAGTGTGGGTGGGACATTTCCATCATGTGTGGAGCTAACACTCTATCAGATTTTCTCCACCTTGAATAACCACTGTCACCTCCACATCTCCCCAGGAGGGCTCACTGGGGAAGGCTTCCTGGAAAATGGAAGTTGGGAGTAAGCCAGGGCTGGGGAAAGAAGAAAGGGAATGGCCTGCTAAGGTGGGAAGACGGTCTCAGTAGGGATGAGAAGTGAGGACAGGCTAATTAAGCTGGGGTTGGGAGCTGGGTAGTTTGCCTGGAGTAATCTTTAGGCTAAGGGAAAAAGAGTAGGAAGATGGAGAGGTGGGGTGTGGTTGGTAAAGGTACTGGAAGTCTTAACCCCTGAAGCAGACCCCCATTTTTTGGAAGCTAAGGTTATGGAAACAGGTTTGAAATGGCCTTTCTTCTTCCAGGAGCCTGACCCTTAGTAGGGCCAAGGAGAAGGTATGGCTCCCAAGGTTGTGAACCCTCAGCTCTGTGACTATTCACTCACTGCAGAAATAATTCATGTCTCCTCTTCCTTTCCAGGATGTCGGGAGAGTGTCAGAGTGCTGTGAGCATTTGTAAGTAACTCATTTAAAAACTTTCTCCTGGGGTTGTAAAAAGGGCTAGAAACAGCCTTACCAGCTGACCTTCAGAATAGAGGCCTGACCCATTCAAAGAGGCCAGGCCACCTGAAGGCATCTAGGGTCTCAGGCACAGTCACCACTCTACCCCCAGTGAAAGTGGCAATATTTTAGTCCAAAGCTGAAAACCCAGTGGTCTTGGGGAGTTCCCTAGGTTGGAGAATCTGCAGTTTTTCTGAATACTTCTGGTTCTGGTTCTGGGAAAGGTCGCCTTCTCACTGCTAACAGAGCTATCAGAGGAATTTAGCATCTTCCTCTAAGTCACAGCCAAGCAGGGCAGACGTGGGCCACCAGCATAACAAGTGTCCCTCCTGAATCGAGTGTCTGTCCTTCTGCAGCTGTGGTCAGCAATGTCTCCAGCACAAGCAGCAGCACCAGTGGTAGCCGTGGAGGCTTTGGAGGGGTCAGTGGTGGCAGCAGCAGTGGCTACAGAGGCAGCAGCGGTGGCTATGGAGGAGTCAGTGGCGGCGGCAGCAGCAGCAGCAGCTACAGAGGGGTCAGCAGCGGCAGCAGCAGCACCTTTGGAGGGGCCAGCGGTGGCAGCAGCGGGGGCAGGGGCAGCAGCGGGGCTTACCAGAGCGGCAGCAGGCTCGGTGGTGCAGGCAGCAGCTCTGTGAGCCAGAGTGGAGTGGGCTCCTCCTCTGGCAGCATCCAGACCTCTGGAGGCAGTGGCTACAAGTCCGGCAGTGGAGGCAGCACCAGTGTCCGCTTTTCCCAGACCACCAGTTCCAGCCAGCACTGTACCAAGTAATGGATCCTCTGGGCCGCAATTCCACACCCGCCTGCTTCCCTCTCAGCCCGCAACAGCACATCCCACTCTCTGCCTGGCCCCAGTAGATACCCATGGTGCAACCATGCTTTCCCTCAAGTTCCCTGGAGAAGGGGCTGACCTCCTGGCTCCTCCGTCCTCCCCTGGGCCTTGGGGGTCCAGCTTCTAGTCTGGGATGATGATGCTTCTGGAAGAGTCCCCATGTCCCTTACTTTGGACAGCAACACCTGAACCCAAGCCACTTTGGGCTTTCCCGGCCTGTTCCCACTCTGGCATCTCTCTTTCTCACTGGGAGCCTCTGGTCTGAAGCCGGCACATCTCAGGACCATGGAGGAGGGCAGTGCTGTGGGTACAGTGCTGAGGGGGGATGGTCAGCATCTCCACACTGGTGCCCAGGGAGCCTTCCCCACATCTGGGCATCATATCCCGACTCACTTCTGTCCCCTAATTCCTTGAGCTGTGGATCTTCTGGTGATGAGTGTGTCATACTTTCTTTTCTCAATAAATTGCGCTGTATTTCATATTGTGGTGTTTGGTTTCCATTCCAAGAGTCACAGAATAGATCAAGGTCCTGAAGTGAAGGGAGATGAGGCAGAGGTTGTGGTCTTCTAGAAGTTCAGCAGTGGGTAGAAAGACCACTGAACAGCCTGGCTTCTCTTTTCTATTTGGCTGGGCTCCTGTGATAGGTCTGCTTTAGAGTATTTATGTTGTTTAAGTGGAGACTTTCCTCACTCCTGAAGTGGGCATTCCATCCAGCCTGAGCAGGCCTCTGCGATCCAGGCTTGAAGGAAGAGGGTTCTACAGTTCATTAGAGGGACTGATCCCATTGGGACTTCAGCTTTTTTTCTCTACTCAGCCAGACACAGAATAAATTCTCTTTCTGCACACAGCTCCTGGGATCTGAAAGGGCAATACATAACACCCTCTTTTCCTTGCACAGGTTTTGGGGCAATTAAAAAATAAGACAAAAGAATGAGCAGACGGAGACACAGTATTGCCTTCATCACCAACAAAGCAGATATTGGCAATGTACCTTATGCTTTGGGTGGAAAGGGTTTCCTATTGCAGGACCTCAGGGTTGGGCTTGATTTCCCACCTGGGCAGAGGCAGCACAGGGCCACTGCAGCCTTCCCTGGAGGGTCAGACCCCTCATGGTAGGGGAGTGCAGAGGACAGCAGAACACAAGCTCACTGAGGACAGCCAGTGCCTAGAGACAGAGGGACGCTGCTGTGCACACCCAGAAATTCCTTCCAAAGTCACAGATCAGGCAAGAGAGTGGGTGGGCGGGTGACACTGGAGAAGCTCACTTCAGGTGGATGTGAAATGAGGAACAGGGATGATGTGTGCCTGCCCTTACACCAGCATTTCCACCATTCTTGGCTTGGCACCTGTAGCTCGGTGGCTAGGGCGCCACACACACCAGAGTTGGCAGATTGGCACCCAGTCCAGGCCTGCCAAACAACAATGACAATTACAACCAAAAAATAGCTGGGTGTTGTGGCAGGCACCTGTAGTCCCAGCTAGTTGGGGGCTGAGGCAAGAGAATCGCTTAAACCCAAGAGTTGGAGGTTGCTGTGAGCTGTGATGCCACAGCACTCTACCAAGGGTGACATAGTGAGACTCTGTCTAAAAAAAAAAAGGAAGTTGAAACCTGAACCTAGGGAGGACAGGGTAACGAGACAGCCACTGAGGGAAACTGGGAAATTGAGGGCTTCAGGGAGATGACATTAGGATCCATACTCCTCCTCACCCCAACCAATCCCATCTGCATGCCCAGAAGTGTGGAAGATACTAATTTGTAAGTCACCATAGGTCAGAGCTGGACTAATGAGAGGGCATCTGTGTATTTGTCTGGTGTCCGAGGAGAGCACCAGCCCCTGGTTTTCATATTCCTGAGCTTGAGTTGGGCCTTGGACTCCCAAGCGTAGCAGCCCTGGCCTCAAGACTTGGAGGAGACAATATTTTAAAATTCTTACACTTGAGAGTTGAATAAATCTTTGCCTATCGTTTCAAGGCCTATCGGCAGGAGGCAGCTTCTTTCCCCACTTCCCCTCAGCCCAGCTCTGGGTGCTCTGAGCAGCAGCGGCAGCTCGGCATTGCTCCTCTCACTGGTCTTCTAGAGATGCTGCAAGAAACATGACCAACCTCTAGGAAAACACTACGGGCTCGAGGCTGACTTTCCTGGCTCAACCCAACTTCTCGTCAGACACTGGAACAGCAGCTGCTTCAGTCTCTATCCATCTGCTCCATGTGTGTTGAGAGCTTGGTCCCGGGTGTTATCTCAGGGCCCTGCATAGTGGGTAGGGATGTGTGCCTGCCCTGCCCAGTGAAATTTTGGTGGCCAACTGAAAGAATGAATAGAGATGAGTAAGGAAAGTGGCACCTCCTTCCACTAAATGAGTAGAAGATGGGACAGCTCACATTCCAAGGCAGGATGGAGCTGAAAGTTTGTGGTGAGGGCCCAGGACCGTCTCTTGAACTCTCGTGAAAGGAATGGTGGAGGGAACTATCACAGGAGGTAGGGGAAGACTTAGGATACTTAGAATTAGGGGAGGGGGCCCATCAGGAAAGGCGTGTTGGAGAGGAAGCTTGGAGCTGGCCTGGGAAGGAAAGCGTGTCTGGGCAATGTAGAGGAAGGCCACGGGGACAGTGTTTAGTTACCCAGAGCAAATCCTAGCAGAATTCCAGGACTAGCATCATATTCTGTGTTCCTGACACAGGCTGGGACTTAGCCATGTACCACTGGGCAGGACAGTGGGAACTACCCGATGAGGGCATTGTGTCTGAGGCTAGGCTAAAGGCTGGGGAGAAGGGAACACATCTAAGCCCAGCAGAATCTGGCAATCCTGAGCTAAACCTTGATGAATCCCTTAATCCATCTCCCATTTGAAGACAAACCTCAAGAGTTCCTTTCTTTCGAAGGCAGCCAGAGTGGGTAGAGTAGGTATTTATCTGTGTGGAATGGTCAGAGAGGTGACGGGAGCCTTGCTGAATTGATACTTGAAATCCTACCCAATGTCTTTAGGATTAAACCATCCGTCTCCTGGTGGCCACTGCGTCTTTATTTTCCATCCTTTATCTTTTATTCTTTATCCTTCACTCACCTCCCTTTTAGAGATCTTTTCCTAAATTAAAAGAGCAATGTATACTCATAGCAAATATACATAAAATTTAGCAAAATAAAAGAATATCTCTAAGAGACAAAGACAAGCTAGAACCTGTAAGGAGAGGGCAACTTGGATGAAAAGGGTTTTACACTGATGTTATAGAGTGGGTATTGATAAGACTGAGGAAAAGTCCCTCAAGGGGGCCCAGAGACTGTCCTCTACACCATGAGCGTGCAGTCTCCAGCTTGTTTTGCTTTTTTTCTTGCTGGAGGTGCTGGTGTTGGTGTGTCCTCTTCCTCTGGGGAGACAGATCCTTGCACCACCACAGCTCCTGGCAAGTTGCCAGTGGCCAGTCCCATTTATCCGAGATCCATTGTATGTTTCTGCATTGGGATGAAGAGGCAGCCCCTCTCTTCTTGGTTGTCTGAAGCAAGGACTTCAACAGCATGGGACCCACTTAGTAGTCCAGAAGCCTGGCAATTTACAATTGGGCCAGGATTAGTACCCTGTGGGGATGCTAAGAATAGAATATCAAGGACAGAACCTAACCCAATGTGGGGTGGGACGTTAGGGGCTAAGGGATGGCAGGGAAGTGGGGCCAAGTGTGCAGAGGAACCACCTCCAGAATTGTGCCTGCAGTGGTACATGAGTTGACACAGTGGGGCGAGGCTAAGAGAGAACAGAAGGACCAGAGCCCTGGGATTAGGGGCCTGTAGTGGATGTAGCATTCACTTCCTCAGCTACTGTGGTTGGCTCCTGACTGCTCGTAGCAGAATGCCTCTCAAGGCCACTAGCTGCCTTGCCTGACTATGCGCCCTCCCCAAGGGTAGGTTCAGTCCTCCATGGGATTGGTGATACCTTTGTTGTGGCCACACCAACCACGTGGCCTCAGATCTGCTTCATTTGTACCCTCACGCATTGATTCTGGAAGAACTCTCCAACCAACTTCCTTCATACGAATCTCCATCTCCACAGCTGGGAGGGAGCCCACCAGCAGGTTGCTTGACTAGGATTTGGATGGGGAGTCTGCCTCATTTCTGGTAAGAGATAGTGCCCCAAGGGCATGATGAAGACACTGGGATCCTTGAAGATCCTGCGGGTAAAGGACCAGAACAGTGGGCAGCCTACTGTACGTACAGAAGATTTTGTAAGAAAATTCTGCAGGGACTCTGAAGGGGGTGGGCTTCTCCAGCTTGCTGCCATCCTCCAGTTCACTGAAACAATGACTCCAGTTAGCTCACACCTGGCTGACAGAGATAAACTCCTAACTGTCCTCCCTGCCTCCAGGCAGCTCTGACTGGCCCTCCTCATTCCACTTTTACTGGCAACTGGCGAGCAATTAGCAAATGCATGTATTAGAGCTCCTTCCTCACTCCCACTGTTAAGACTAGTCATGTGGTTGTTATAAGCCTAGGTGTTCTGCCTTATTAAAGCTGGGGTTACTCACAGTCAGGGCCGAAGAGTGCAAGTTTGAATGCCCATAAATTTATTTCATGCGTATTTTGCCCTGAGAGATTGGTAATTAGATAAAGGCCCTGCCATTCTAATAACGCATGCCACTCACTGCCCTTAGCCTCGCCTTATCCGGGGAAAGTTCACAAGCAGCCCTGCTCCAGGTTAGCTACCATCTCCCAGGATAAACACCTTTCTCTGTGCACTTGTGCACAGGCCCTTGGCTCAGCTGCTCCCCGAGCATGGTCTCTCCTTTCCTGCGGGTATGAGGATGCATTTAACGAGCACTCAGAGGCTGAGAATGACTTCATGGTTCTGAAGATGGGCAGGGCAGGGAAGCTGTGCAGGGGGGAGACGGAGCCAGGAAGGGGGGAATGGTGGCACCTTCTTGTGGGTGTGAGGCTGGATAGCACTTTCTCCAGA